CGGGAGCATTGCCCCAACACGCGCCCCACCCACCCCCTCACACGCACCCTCGCGCCGTGAACGGTAGGGGGGGATGAGGGAGGGGAGGACAAAAATGAATAGGTGTGCTCGCGCCATATCCGACATCCTATCTCTCCCTCCCATCCCTTTCCACTGCGCTGATTTTTTATCAATCCGCGGACGCGTGTAGGGCCGTCGCGAGAGGCGGCTCTGGACGAGAAGGCGGTCCGATCCAGGGGGTCCAGGCCTCGTGGGGTCCGCGCGGCGGGAGAGTCGCGACGGCGGGGGTCTGGTTCTCCCTCTCTGCCCCTCCTCCTCCTCCTCCTCCTCGTCCCTATCCTCCTCCTCCTCGTCGTCCTCCTCCTCCTCCTCCTCCTCCTCCTCCTCCTCCACCTCCTCCTCCTCCTCCCCCCCTTCCTCCTTCCCCCCCTCCTCCTTCCCCCCCTCCTCCTTCCCCCCCCTCCTCCTTCCCCCGTCTCCCCCTCATCCTCCTGCGTCCTCCTCCTTCCCCCCCCTTCCGCTCGCGCATCTGCGTTCGTTCGTTCGTTCGTCGTCCCCCCGTCCGTTCGTCCGTCCGTCCGTCCGTCCGCGTCGTCGTCGTCGTCGTCGTCGTCGTCGTCGTCGTTGTGGTGTCGTTTGTCTGGCCCTTCTCTCGTCTCTGACCTCGTGCCCCTGTTGCGGGCGCGCGCGAGGCCGTTCTAGACTAGAATTCCCCCTCTGCTTCTCCTCCCTGGCTGCTGCTACTGTCCCTCTCCTCTCCCCGCTCCCCCTTGCTCACGCCCTGGCGCACCATCATCATCATCATCATCCTCCTCCACCTCATCATCATCACCATCATCATCATCACCATCATCATCATCATCATCATCATCATCATTATGCAAATTATTTGTGTTATTATTGCTGATACTAAGTGTATTGTTATTTTTAGTATTATGATGGATCGTATTTTTATTGATATTAATCAGTATTACCAGTCGAAGCATTATTCTGACTTATATTATGTTTAATCACATCTGTATCACACATTATTAGTGTTATATCTTTTTAGGATGGTTATTAGTATTACGATCAACAGGTTTCCCATATTTCGTATTATTTTTATTCGTAGTATGATCATCATCGTCGTCATTGTCAGAGTCATCGTCATCATCATCATCATCTTCATCATCATCGTCATCGCCATCATCCGCATCATCATCACCACCATCATCGTCGTGAATCATTAACACCAGCATCACCACCATCATCATTATCAATATCATCATCATCATTATTATTATTATTATTATTATTATTATTATTATTAATATTTCTTGTTTTTGTTTTTACTATTATTATTATTGTTGTTGTTGTGGTTGTTGTTATTATTATTATTATTATTACTATTATTATTATCGTTTGTAATTAGCGTCCTCATCATCATCACAGCGCTGCTGTGTTGCTCATGCCCCTCTAGCAGCGCGGCATCCGTATCTGTTGCGAGTGCAGGCGGGGCACTCGGGCGGGCCAACACTTCCGCATGGCAATGTCTCAGCCTCGAGGAAAACCATGGCCGATCACGTCGTAGCACCCATTTGTAAAGTGGAAGCCCATGCCAAGAAACACCCTGCTTGCCTCCAGGGTGCCCTGGGTTTCATGGGTTTCGATGGTTTCGCCATGGAAAACTTGACGCTCCCACACCAAAAACAATGGACGCCCTGGGGTCTCAGGGTTGGGTTTCTTGTGAAAGGTTTCTTGTGGTCGGGCCCCCACTGAATTTGTTTGGCTTCTATTCCGCGTATCTCGCCTCGGATAAGGTGCGCGTGATCAGCAGGAACAGCGACGGCGAGCAGCACATCTGGGAGTCCGGTGCTGGCCGTTCCTCCACGGTGCAGAAGGCTATGGATCTGCGTGGGGAGATTACGCGCGGCACCAAGACCATTTGTAGTCTGAAGGAGGACCAGGCGGAATTTCTGGAGGAGCGCCGCCTGAAGGATCTGGTCCAGAAGCACTTTGACGTTATCGTTTTCCCCATTGAGCTGTCCATGGTGAAGTCAAAAAAGAAGAATGTGACAGACTCCGAGGAAGAGGAGGAGGAACAAGACGAGAAGAAAATAATGCGACGAACCGAATATCGAGCAGGTCGATGGGGAGAAAGTGAAGGAGGATAATAAAAAGAGAACTTAGAAACCTACATCAAGTACATCCTGGGAGACACCACTGAACACATAGCAGGAGCTCTGTTGCGTGGTGTGCGCCGGGCCTTGCATTGGGTTTCTCCCGTCACTTGGAGGCCGCGGAACCAGAACGGGGAGGCTGATCGACGCGCACGCCAGCGGGGTACACCTGAACCCGACCACGTCGCCCAATGATGTGACTGAGTTCCGCCTGTTCTGCTGGTCGAGCGGTGTGTTCCCGGCTTCTTCCCACGCGGGGTCCTACGCGCGGGTGGTCGGAAAAGCTGGGCTGCCTCATGGGGTGGTGCTCTATGGCTTCAAAGAGTGCCCGGATGCACTGGACGCCCTGTGGGCTGAGGCCCAGGGGATCCGATGAGTCATAATTTCCATACTCTTCCTTGTCAAATCGGCACGCGGGTGGGGCCGCGAGAGTCTCCAGGGGCTCTTGGGCATTCCGGTGCGTGCTGAAGAACTGAATTCGTGTTGGGCGTAGAGGCCAGTGTAGTGTAGTAGCAATGCGGTTTTCATGGGCAAAGCAGTGATGACATAAGTAAATCGGAGGTTGGGGGGTGAGATCGCAGTGAAACGGAGACCCCCCGCCGTGAAATCGGTTTCGGTTTCGTGTCGTGCGTGCGGGCGAGGCGAAGCTGCGCGTGATCCTCCTGTAGCTAGGCCGACGTATGAGCGAAAGTTCGTTTCCCGTCCGCCGGTGGCCGGGAGGTGTCCCAGTTGGGCCGGGCGGTGTCCCGGGTGTCCTGGGTGTCAGTAGTAGCGAAAGTCCGTTTCCCGTCCGCCGGTGGCTGGGAGGTGTCCCGGTTGGGCCGGGCGGTGTCCCGGGTGTCCTGGGTGTCCCGGGCGTCCTGGCGCTGACCGCGTGTCTCTAATTTCACAATTAATGTTTTTCGTCGCCTTTGTCGGGCTTTTTTTATCCAATCCAGCTTATCTTATCCAATCCATCTTGTCCAATCCAATCCATCTTATCCTATCCAACCCATCTTGTCCCATCTCTTCTTATCTCACACAATCCAATGCATCCAACCCAATCCATCAATTCATTTGTTTCTGCGCCTGCGGCGGGCCAATCCAATCCATCTTATCATATCCAATCCATCCCTTCCAATACAACCCATCTTATGTTATCCAATCCAGCTTATCTCATCCAATCCAATCCACCCAACCCAATCCATCAATGAGAGATAGAGAGAGAGAGAGAGAGAGAGAGTGAGAAAGAAAGAAAGAAAGAGAGATATGAGATCAAGGTGACAGGCTGGAGGTCAGTCAGGGTGGGCATTTGATCTCAATCCTCCCCAACCTCCTTATGGCCCGCAGGGCGGTCGTATAGGTAACAATATGGTCAAGGAGGTATCCCACGAGTGGGAACAGCTCAACATTAAGGAGCGACTTGGATGCGCAAGTCCGAAGACGTGAACAACGATGAGTGCGCCTCGTTCTACAAATTTCTGTCCAACGGGTGGGAGCGCCGCCTGTTCGAATCCAAGAAGAAGCGCAACTAATTCAAGCTGTTCGTGCGACGCGACTTCGTCATTGACGACTGCGACGAGCCGACGCCTGAGTGGCTGAACTTCGTGATGCGAGTGCCTGACTCGGAGGATCTGCCGCTGAACATCGCCCGTGAAGCGCTGCAGCAGGACAAGATCCTACGCGTGATCAAGAAGAACGTCGTCAAGAGATGCCTCGATTTAAACATCGTGCCATGGATAACACTGCCTGTGCCAAGCATGAGGTGTGGCCAAATGGATTGCGCACGCCGGCGTCGATGAATACTTTGATTTCAAATGTGTGAACGCCATTATGCGTATCATCAGCTTTCCAAATCGGATTGCCGAGACGATGCGTTTGTGGCGAGGAACCAGCTCAAGGTAATATTTGCTATCGTCCCACCGTGCAAACGCACTGGAGTCTCTTGGCTCCATGGGAGGGGCTGTGCACAGGGGGCCGGTGCCGCAGAGCCCCACGTTCTGCATTTTGTACATGCTCGTTTTGTGTGTTAGCCGAAGGCTTGTGGTGGCCTACTGACCGAAGGCTTGTGGTGGCCGAAGGCTTGTGGTGTCTCACTGACCCGAGTTCCAGGATTTGCAATTCACTGCCTTGCACTTGTGATGCCCAGGGGGCTCATTCGGGGCATACTGAGTGAATCATCGCCATTGCCATCATCAGCCTCGTCAGAATTGGCATCATGATCCCCATTGTCACTGTCAGCGTCATCGCAACAGCCAAGCCATCACCACCACAACCATCACCATCGCCACGATCATCATCATCATCATTACCGTCGTCACCATCAGCGTCATCATGGGCACCATTATGCTAGTCGCCATCATCACCCTCGTCCTCGTCACCATCACTGTTATCAGCAACAACCACACCATCACCATCACCACCCTCAGCATCACCATTATTATTATCGTCACCGTCTTCATCATCACCATCGTTATTTTCACCATCGCCACCACAAACATCAACATCAACAACCACATGTGTATCATCATCTCATTTTTATCAGTGCCATTATCCCCGCACCATCTTTCTCACCGCGGGCATCATCATCATCATCCTTATCCTCACCATCACCACCAGCACATCACAATCACCAACCTTATCATGATCAGCATTTTCGTCATCACCACCGTCATCATCATTTTCATCGGCATCGCCACCAAGCATCATCATCTTGATCATCATCATCGTCATCCGCGTCGGCGTTTTCGTTGTCGTCGTCGTCGTTATTTTCTTTCGCCGCCTCCGTCGTCGTCGTCGTCGTCGTCGTCGTCGTCGTCGTCGTCGTCGTCGTCGTGGTTATTTTCGCCTTCCCTGTGACGCCAGGAGGGCGGCATGGAACCGAGCCCAGAGGCATACGGTGACGCCGTCATCGCGGTGGCAATGGCCGAGGAGGCTCCGTTTTATTGTTGTTGTTGTTGTTGTTGTTGTTGTTGTTGTTGTTGTGGTTGTTGGGTTTTCACAACTGAAGAACAATTCTCCCAGTGAGACCCTACCTAGGAGTTGGAGCATCTAGGAAAGCAACATCTACATCTACACCGGCAGGTACATTAACATTTACACCTGCATCTACATCTACATCAACATCAACAGCGAGACATCTACATCTACATCTACATCTACATCTACATCTACATCTACATCTACATCTACATCTACATCTACATCTACATCTACATCTACATCTACATCTACATCTACATCTACATCTACATCTACATCTACATCTACATCTACATCTACATCTACATCTACATCTACATCTACATCTACATCTACATCTACATCTACATCTACACCTACATCCACATCCACATCTACACCTACACCTATATCTACATCTACATCTACACTTTCGCATTGGTACTGCTTTTGCTTTGCATTGCCTTGCCTTTGCTTTTGCTGTTGCTGTTGCTGTTGCTTTTGCTTTGCTTTTGTTTTTGAGCTCGCTTGATGTTGTTGTGCTATGCTATGCTATGCTATGCTGTGCAATGCTATGCTTTGCTATGCTATGCTGTGCTATGCTTTGTTCTGCTATGCTATGCTGCGCTGTGCTATCCTAAATTCTTCACGCTTCGCGTATCCCCACCAGCCCATCTCAAAACAGCAACTCTAGCGAAGCATGCCGACAGTCGTGTTTTTCAGGCGTGTTTCCGCCTGCCCCCGCATATCTCCCCTGTTCCTCCTTCCTCCCGCCTCCTTGTACATCCTCCTTGTGGTGGGAGCGGGAGAAGGACGAGGCGGAGGAGGAGGGAGAGAAAGCGCTCCTCGTGGTTTGAGTCGTTCGGGCTTCTCGTCCTGGTGTGAGTCGTTCGGGCCCTTCTTCCTGGTGTGAGTCGTTCGGGCTCTTCGTGGTGTGAGTCGTTCGGGCTCTTCGTCCTGGTGTGAGTCGTTCGGGCTTCTCGTGGTGTGAGTTGTTCGGGCCCCTCGTCCTGGTGTGAGTCGTTCGGGCCCCTCCACCTGCCCGTCCAGAAACGACGCCCAGGCGAGTAGAGGGTCGTCCTGATGGGCTTTTCGGCGTCTTGGGTGCCTCGGGGGGGCCTCTTTGGGCCGTTTGGGATCCTCTTGGGGGCCTCCTGGGGGCCTCTTGGGGCCATCTTGGGGCCTCTTGGTGCCTCCTGGGCGCTTCTTGGGGCCATCTTGGAGAGAATCGATCAAAGAAGAGGGGAGCTTTAATGAGCGCTGCCCCCTTCTGAAGGGCAAAATGAGCCCAAAACCTTTGTAACATCCATGATTGTGCCTTGAAAGAAGAGGGGAGCTTTAACGAGCGCTGCCCCCCTCAGAAGGCCAACATGGGGCCAAAACCGTAGTAAAATCAATGATTTTGGCTTCAAAGAAGAGGAGAGGGTTTTTTCTGCCCCCCCCGTCGGGGCCAGAATCCTCGTGAGGGGTGTCGTTTTTTAGCCCTCCCAGGAGTCGAAAATTACCCCCCTGACGACCCGCGGAACGCCCTCTCCAGGCCCAGGGGGAGGGGGTAGGGGGAGGGGTAAACCCTTCCCCGAAGGGGAAGAAGGGGGGTTGAGAACAGAGAGAGCTCCCTAAACCACTCACGCCCAAAGGGCTGGTGGGACTAAGCTATGCTATGCTATGCTATCCTATGCTGTGCTGCGCTATGCTATGCTGTGCTAATGCTATGCGTGCTGCGCTATGCTAGGTAGCGCTATGCTATGTTATGCCATGCTATGCTATGATATGTTATGCCATGCTATGCTATGCTAATGCTGCGCGGCGCTAAGCTAAGCTGAGCTAAGCTAAGCTAAGCTAGGCTAGGCTAGGCTAAACTAAAGCTAAGCTAAGCTAGGCTAGGCTAAGTTAAGCTAAACTAAGCAAAGCTAACTTAAGCTAGGCTAAGCTAAGATGAGATAGGCAACGCTAAGCTAAGGGGACGTAGCTGGGGGAACCGCGGGGCGGATACTGGGGGAACCGCCCGGGGCGCTTTCCACTGCCTGGCTCCTTCAAGCCTGGAGAGTAAGAACCCTTCTAGGCAGAGCCTAAGGTAGGGAATTATTGTTGATCCCCCCATCCGGTGACCATGGTATTTTTTCAATGGAAGTGTTTCCCCCCGGGGTTCGCGCCTTGTTTTTATCAGGGAAAGTCACGGGGCTCAAATTGTGTCGTTGGCCACCGGTTTGCAACAAAAGCGGCTTCTGCTTGATTCCTCACACAAATCGCGCTCTCGCGCGGGACTTCCTCACAACTTGTATACGAATCGCGCTCTCGCGTGGGACTTTCTCGCAGTTTATTCAAGTTCTCGCTTTGGCTTTTCGCACGATTTACTTGGGAATCGCGCTGTCGCTCGTGACTTCCTCGCGAGTCATGCAGGGCCCACGCTTCAGCAACCCGCCTGCTCGACCTGGTCGCCTGGGCCCGCCTTCCCGACATGCCCGCTATGGGTCTGCCCACCCGATCTGCCCGTCTGGTTCTACCACTAATTTCTCTCGTGCTGCATTCTTCTCCCTCCCCCTCCCACCCGTTTTCTTTTCCCTTGTTTTAAGGGCTGCACTACATGCGCGTGGCAGGTAACGAAGATATGCCCCCAAGGGAATACGATCGAAGACGGCGAGGACGGGTACCGAGGGTTTGGGATATACGCATTGATTGGCACGTGCGCAGATAGGAGCGAACAGTCTTAACATGATTGTTGTTGGACTTGCTGTTGTTGTCGTTGGTCTTCTTGAGTTGTGGTGGTTGTTGTCGTTGTTGTTGTCGTTGTTGTTGTCGTTGTCATTGTCGTTGTCATTGTCGTTGTCATTGTCGTTGTCGTTATTGTCGTTGACGTCGTTGTTGTTGTTGTTGCTGATGTTGTTGTTGTTATTCTTGTTGTTGTTGTTGCTGGCTTTGTTTTAATTGTTGCTGCTGCTGTTGTTGTTGCTGCTGCTGCAGCTACTGCTGCTGCTGCTGCTTCTGCTGCTATTTGTTTGGTTGTTGTTGTCGATGATGATGATGATGATGATGATGATGATGATGATGATGATGATGATGATGATGATGATGATGATGATGATGATGATGCTGATGATGATGATGATGATGATGATGATGATGATGATGATGATGATGATGATGATGATGATGATGCTGATGATGATGATGATGATGATGATGATGCTGATGATGATGATGATGATGATGATGATGATGATGATGCTGATGTTGCTGCTGCTGCTGTTGCTGCTGCGGTTATTTGCTGCTTCGATTGTTGCAGACATGCACCGCAACTGCGTGCTCGCTGCCGTTTCTGTTGTTTGATGCTGATCCAGCCTTGCGTTTCGGACTCCCGAGCGGTGCCTGCGCCCAGATCAGCGCCGGTCGGGCAGCAGACGGTTCGCACCACGGGCAGCAGACGGTTCGCGCAGCTGGGCGAGGCAAAGTTTCTGCTCGGCTGTGTCGCCCCCTGGGCTGCTCAGGTCAGGGACACGGTCAGGGGGGAATAGCTAGGCTCAGGGGCGTTAGGAGAGTGTTATTCCCAACCCTCCTCTGCTTGGGTTCTCGATTTGAATCGAGCGATGGGGTCTCCACCTCCTCGCCCCCCCCGCTCTCCTCTCGGCTCTCTCCTCTCGCCATCCCTGGGGGGCTGCGAAGTGTGATTCTGTCGCCACTTGCAAGGGCTGCTGAGGGGGCCAGCATCGTGGGGTCCCACGCAGACCCAAACGGGACCTCGCCATCCCTGGGGGTGGGGCTGCCAAGTGTGACTCTGTCGCCACTTTCGAGGGCTGCTCGGGGGGCTTGCTCAGTGGGGTCCCACGCAGACCCAATCGGGACCTCGCCATCCCTGGTGGGCTGCGAAGTGTGACTCTGTCGCCACTTTAGAGGGCTGTGAGGCTGTGAGGGGGGACCAGCACAGCGGGGTCCCACGCAGATCCAAACGGGACCTCGCCATCCATGGTGGGCTGCGAACAGTGACTCTGTCGCCACTTTGGAGGGCTGCTCGGGGGGCTTGCTCAGTGGGGTCCCAGGGCTGCGAAGTGTGAATATGTCGCCGCTTGCGAGGTCTGCTGGGGGGGCCAGGGTGTGAAACTGTCGCTACTTTCGAGTCGGCCACGCACACTTCGCACGATATACGTCCCCAGGACGAAAGTGTTTTCCTCTTGGGCCCAGAACGACGGCTTGAAGTCTTGAGCAAACGCGCATGAGATAACCGCCGTCGGATCTCGTGAAGTTCGCGCAGATCCAATTGTGGCTTTGACGTTTGCTTCGGTGGATCCGGTTTCCGTCCGCGCGGATCCGATTTCGGATTTGCTGAATTCGTGTTCGGTCTTGTTTTTTACGGTGGATCCGATTTCTACCCCGTTTTAAATTTAGATTATTAGATTTAAGCGGGGAACCCGAATACATCGGATCCGCGGACCGCGGAGCCCGCCCGTGTTAAGATTCTACAGGGGAAGAAGGTTCGGTCATTAATTTCCAACTCATCGTCGCCATTTGCACCTCAAGAGGAGCATCTTTCGTCCTGCGTAAGTAGATATCCGCCGTGCACCGTCTCTTGCAGTGCTGCTGTTGCACTATTGTCGGCACACCGTTTATCATCCCTTGGTGCCAGTGGGTTGGGTACGTCGAAGGGTAATTTTGCCCTCTGGGCCATAATGCGCGTTATGCCCCCTACCCTCCCCCTCTCCCTCCCCCATACCGTAACGCCTCCCCCCCAGTGCGTCCCCGACCTTGCCGCGCTCTCTCCTCAGTGCGTCCCCCCCCATACAGTGGGAGCCTGTGCCAAGAAGCACCCTGCTTGCCTCCAGGGTGCCCTCGGTTTCTTGGGTTTCGATGGTTCTGCTGTGTTCTCCTCCTCCTCCTCCTCCTCCCCCTCCTCCTCCTCCTCCTTTTCCTCCTCCTCCTTCTGCTCCTCCTCCTCCTCCTCCTCCTCCTCCTCCCTTTCCCCCTCTTTCTTTTGGGATCAA